CTGTGGGGTGGGTACTGACACTGCACCCATTTTACAAATGAGCAAAATGAGGCTCAGAGAAGGGAAATGATAAGCTCAAGGTCCCAAGGCTGTCAGACTGACCTGTTTATAAGGTGGTGGCCATTGGGGTCTGTTCTCTACTCAATTTTCTAATGGCAGAGAGTGAGGCCTGCTCTTGATTTTGTTCCTTTAGATAAACTTCAGCAGGGAATCCACCTAGACATCAAGATCTGAAGAGGACAGATGAGGAAGGCCACTGCAATGCCCACCTGCTGGTGAGAGCCAGGCCCTGTGCCCCAATGCTGAGGAAGGGGAAGTTTCTGGGGTCTGTGGCAGTGTAAAAGTGAAACTTGTCTTCTCTTCCTTCTCTGGCAGCAGACTAAGCCCTGATCCTGGTCATAGACTGAGCCTTATTCCTAGTTCCAGACTGATCCCTGATCCTGATCATAGACGTAGCCCAAATCCTAGTCACAAACTGAGCTCTGACCTCAGTTATTGACCAAGCCCTGACTTTGGTCGTGCACTGAGTCCTAACCCTGATCCCAGACTGAGTCCCATGATCCCAGGATGAGTCATGATCTTGATCATATACTGAACCCTAATTCTGGCCTCAAAATGAGCCCTGATACTGTCTTCAGTCTTGGTTTCTGATCTGCCACTGTTCTTAAAGAGGGTGTTAGGTACCAGAGAAAGATCCCCACATCAAAGGCACCAGTCCTCTCTCCAAGGCCTTAGACCAGGCAGGGTATTATGGAAGAGAGCTTGGACAGTGGACTCAGGCCAGCTTGGGCCCCATTAAGTGCCTGATGAGTGATAGTTGCCCATAAGGGCAGCCGTGATCATGAATGGCCTAACACCCTGTGGTCTCATTCCAGATCGGCTCCTAGTGACTTGACCTAGTTCCCTTGTAGCATCTCCCTCTGGGAAGGAGCTGCCACCGTCCACCTGGAGTAAGAGCCTGAGCCCAGGCAGAAGGACCCTTCCCAGATACCTTTCCCCTCACAGTCAGACAGCGGCCTCTATGTCTGTTACTACTCCACCCCAGCAATAAAAGCTTTGCTCCTACACCCTGTCATGTGGCCTGCTGCATTTCCGCCATCGAAATTGGGGGTGAGGGTGTGAGGGTACTACAACTGGAGTGGCAGAGTACAGGATCCTGGAGATAGAAGGAACACTTGGGAATATCCAGCCCCATTCCTCTGTTATACAACCAGGGACACTGAGACACAGAGAGGGCAAGAAACTGGAGTCACATAGCCAGTCTGTGGCAGTGGCAGAGCCCCTGAATCATCTGTGCACATGTTCAACAGCTATTACATGAGTACCAGCCCTGCGCCAGGCAGGCTGTGGAATAGGACAGTTATTCTGGGGTCTTACCCATAGAGGTTTTCCTCCATTTCCCTCTGGAACCTGAGAGGCTTCACGGGGGATCGGGAGACCCTGATCTGGCTCACCTCAGGGGTGTGAGCACAGTGACTCAGGGTCAGAGTCCTGCAGCCCCCTCTGCCTGCCCTTCCATGCCCTCTGAGGGCCAAGGGACCCTTCTCTATGCAGCACTGAGAGCACCAGCAGCCTCCAGTCCCTGGACTGACCCTGCCCCCATTGCCAGCACTGTGAGCTTATGCCCAGCTCTGCCTGGTGATGCCAAGCCTCCTAAGGGTGCTCACTTGTCACATGGAAGCCCACCCCTGCCTCCACCCAGGCCCTTCATCTGCTCCCTGGGACTCAGCTTACCCCAACTGTGCCCAGACTATGGCAAAGACAGCACACACTGTGGACAATACCTCCGCCATTATTGAGGGCTGCCTCTGTGCACTCACTCATATAAGCTCATTAGTTCCTCACAACACCCCTCCCTGTATAAGGAAACGCCATTATTGGCCCCAGTTGACAGATGAGGAAACTGAGGCTATACAGGCAAAGTGACTCATCAAGAGGCAGAGCTGGGATTTGAATCCACAGCAATGGGACTCTGGGTCACAGTGTCCTGGCTCAGAGAGATTACCTCACGGCTCCCAGGCCTGTGGCCATCTCGTTCCCCGACCCCCAGCCTTCCTTAAAGGTAGGTGAGACCCTTTTAATTCTGTTCTTCCTCCCCCATATGCAGGCCTCAGTTCTCTGCTTTGCCCAGGAGGGAGGAGGAAACCCTTCCCCACAGTCACATTTGCACCGCAGAGGCATTGCATGGAGCAGGGCACAATAAAGTGTCTTACTATCCCAGCAGCCCTTCTGTCCTATATTTGACTTTTCATCCCAAAGGCCCAAGCAGCCTTTTCCCATCTTGCCAAGCAGCCAATCTCTTTGGTCTGTGCAAGTACTCTATGGGGAGGGCCTGCTTTTGCTCCCATGGGGAACCAGGTCCAGGGAGGCCATGGCTACATAGCAGCTCCACATGACTGTAAGGTGCCCCCAGAACTCCCTCTCTGTGGAAGCAACTTCACAAGGTTAGTCACTTCAGGGGGCCCTTTGAGCCCTGGAGGTAGCATGGAGGAGCCTTCACAGGGTCTTGTCTCTTCTTCTGAATAATTTCACTGAGGACCTCAGTTCAGGTTATGGCTATGAGTTGCTTGCCGTGAGGTGAGGCCATGGAATTGGGCAGATCTGAGCTCAAGTCAGCCCCTGCCACATTCTACCAAAAAAAAAAAAGGCAATTGCAGAGAGTCAATTCTAACTCAGGGTAATTTCACATGTTACAGAATAAAACTGCTCCATAGTGTTTTCCTGGCTATGATCTTTATAGAAACAGATCATCAAGTGTTTCTTCTACAGCTTGCTGGTCTGAACCACCAACCTTTGGGTTAGTAGTCAAGCATTTAACCATTTACACCACCCAGAAACACCTCCCCCCCCCAAAAAAAAAGTCAAACCCATTGCCATCAAGGTGATTCCAACTCATAGTGGCCCCATACAGGCCACGTAATATCAGACAACTTTGAACAACTTCTTGGAACTTCGGTTTCCCACATGTCAAATGAAGTTAATGGTGAAACCTCTCTCATTGGTCCATTGTGAGGATTAAGTTAACCAATGAGGGGAAGTATTTCACCAGGGTCTGGCACCCAGTTCCAGTTCCTGGCGCAAGGAACATCAGCTGCTACTACTGTTTGACTGCCACCCTCTTGGAGATCCACTGACAAAATGGCTAGTGTGGTAGAGACAACCATGGCTTAGGGGATTTCTTGGGTTTTTGCTTTGTCTCCATGAGGTAAGACTGCCAACTGTCCTCTAGTTTTAATTCTAGTCCCCTTTCCTGAGATTTAGCTGGGTACATCCCACATGCATACTGCTAGATACTATTTTCCAGCTTCCCTTGCAGCTAAGTGTGGCCGTGTGACTAAGGTCTGGTCAGTGTGCCTAAAAGGAAGGGGGTTTCATGTAGAACAAAACTCAAAATCATAAAAAAGACCAGGTTTACTAGTCTAATAGAACATAGTGAGACCCCCAGATTATGGCCCCTAGTTACCCTTCAGATAATTGAACTAACTCTCATGGCTTCCAGCCAAACGACAGGCATATAGGGTGAACATTTACATCAAGTAGATACACACCTTAGCACAATCAACCATGGGAGAACAGAAGGGCAGTATTTGCACAGGGAGATAGCTCAGGGGGCAGGAATGCACAGGAAAGAAGAACACAGGGAAAAGGTAACCACAGGAAGGAAGTGGGAAGAGAACTTCTGTGCTGTGGGGAATGGCAATGTCATGAAACAAAATGTGTATGAACTGCTGTGTGGAGAATGAATTTGTAAACTTTCACCAAAATCACAGTAAAAATTTAAAAAAGGGGGAAAAAAAATAAAGGTGGCTTCCTCCACTTCCTCCTGACCTTCTCCATTTCTCTTCATTAAGAAATGGGAATTGGAACAATTGGCCTGGACAGCAAGGTGGAAGGTGTTCAGGATGGCAGAGCCATCCCCCAACCCGTGACCTTACTGTCATGGAAGAGAGGAATTAACTCACTTATTTAAACCAATGTCTTTTGGCATTTCTTTGTTTTTGTTAAGGCTGAGGAGCTCTGGCGGCCAGTGGTTAAAGCATTTGGCTGCTAACCAAAAGGCCAGCAGTTCAAACCTACCAGTCTCTCCACAGGAGAGAGGTGAGGCTGTCTCCTTGCAAAAAGGGCAAGGAGGCCACATGTTCTGACCTTCTCTAATCTCACAAGTGGAAGACAAGAGTAACCCAAGGCCTATTACTGCAAGGCCAAACATGCTGCCTCCCTCCAGCCCTTTCACCAACCTTTCCTCCCAAAGCACATACCACCTCTCTCCTGGGTTCGATAATTCACTGCAGTGGCCACACAGATTACAGGGTTTATTAGGGAAGCACCAGGCTACAACTCAAGTTCAGGAAGAACGCTCAGTCTCTCTCCCAGCCCAACGTCCCTCAGCCAACAGTCTCTCACAGTCTTTTTCCCAGCAGTGCTGGTCCCTCGATGTCTCACTCAGCAATGCGTGTCTCTTGCATCTCTTTCCCAGCAGTACGTGTCTCTTTCAGCAGCACATCTTCCTCCACCAGCAGTAAGAGAGAGTTCTGCTTCCAGGAGGCCTCCTTTTGAGCCCGGAAGGGTGGTCAAACTAGCCAATTATAGCATCAGAACTCTAAGCACCTGAGAGAGTGGGAACCTCCCAGAACATTGTTTTGTGCCACTCCCAACAGAAATACTCCAGGTGGACACCTTCAGCAATCAGGAGCTCCTCAGTTGCTCATAGCAAATCCCACCTTGGAGTTTACAAAGACTTATGGGTAGAAAAGCCACACAAAGTAATTTACTATACCACATTCCTTCTGTAAAGATTTACAGCCTTGGAAATCCTATGGGGCAGTTCTACTCTGTCCTATAGGGTCACTATGAGTCAGAATCAACTCAGTGGCATGAGTTTGGTTTTTGTTTTGTTAAGACTGCTTTGTCTCTATCCTACTTAACTCATCCTACCAATGACCTGCTGTGTGACATACAGCTAATGACTTCCCCTCTCTGAGCCCCATTTTCCTATTTACTTGCACAGTGGCCTTTGAAAACCCTTCCTGTTCCAATAGGAAAAGAGTTCATGTTTCTTTCAGAGTTGAAAGGGAAGGAAAGAATAAGCATTAATTGAATCCCTATGGCATGCCAGGCACTGTATTAGACTGGTGGTTCTCAATCAGGGGTAATTTTTCCCCCAGGGGACACTTGGCATTGTCTGGAGACATTTTTGGTTGTCACACTGGGTCTCTGGTGGGTCCAGATCAGGGATGCTGCCAAATATTTTATAACACACAGGGCAGCCCCTCAAATAGAGAATTATCTGCCTCACAATGTCAATAGTGTGAGAAACCCTGTATGAGGTCTTCATAGACATTATCTCACTGCATCCTGATGTTTACTGAGTGATTTCTTGGGAAACCTGTGGCAATAGTGGCTCTGAGAGGTGAAGTGGCTTGCCTGAGGCCACACAGCTGGTCAAAGTTGAAGCTAAACTTTGCTGCTTCCAGAACCAGTATTCCCATCAGCCAAGGAAGAAGGATGAGAGTTTTGCTTTCCGACTAGATTTTGTGACTATCTCACCTCCACAAAAAAGACACAAGGAGGGTCCAAAATCCAGGCCTCCCTGTGGGCAGGAACCAAGTAGATAGGATCAGTGCCAAGCCTTTGTCCATGTTGCTCCACCCATTTGGAACAGTGTGGTAGTTAAGTTTGTGTGTCAACTTGGCCAGGCCTGGTTGAGTGGTTGGGCAGCTGGATGTAGTATTCCCCATGATGAGATTAGTAATCAACTCCATGGTGGAATATACTGTGAGCAGCTGAGTAGCTGCCTTAGGGATGTAATCTGCTTCCTATATATAAGCAGAAACCTTGGGGAACAATCTCTAGCTTATGGCATGTTTGAACTCTGCATGTAGTTGTGTCATTTTT